TTCATTATCACCGTCCCTTGGCCATGATTCCTGGTACCTTGAGCTTCTCAGAACTCACAATCCTTGAGAGAAAGCTCTTTCTTGGATCTATTAAAGCCTTCTTTCTCCATGAACAAAATCATCTAAAAGATATTTAAAGCTTTCAACATGAATTAGGAATTCAGACAAGAATGAAGAAATAAAAAGTACTTGACAACATAAACAGTCTTGGCACTGACATGAGAAAATGATTCTTTGCTTGGAGAGAGTGGAAAATTCTTTTTTGTTTATTTAGTTAGTTTAGGGTTTTTGCCATACGATGTATGTGGGCTCACTGTAGGGAGACAGAAAGAGACAATGACAGGTAGGATGGCCATGCCACAATCTCTTCTTCTCCATTCGCTTCTCAGAATTTTGGGAACACAAGTACACATACCCAATGTGATATTCAGTCTGCCAGGTCTGGGACTTGAACTGTGCTGGTCATGTGGAAATCCAGTGCTTTAACCACCATGCCACCTGCTGGTGGAAGGTTATTATTTAACTGCCCAGAGCAGTTATCAAAGAGTTTAAGAAGGATGTCAGGAAGTCCAGTGTAATATGGATGACTGATAATTTTTATTATGAAACTGGGCATAATTCCATTGTCTATACCAACTCTATATAAAAGCCTTTAAGTGATCTCTTGAAAACATAAATAAATCCTAATGGCAGTAAGTATACAGGAAGTACTACTTTGGTACTTGGTACCAAAGCCATCTATTCCTATAGATAGCCTTGGAAAATATTTATAAATAAAAGTAGAATCTCTTGGGGCCAACAGGTGGCATGGTGGTTAGAGCTGGACTCCCACATGGCTGACTGTGATTCAAGTCCTGGACATAGTGGCTTGCTTTCTCACTTTTCCTTTCTCTCCTTCTCTGTCTCTTTCTGGCCAAATTAAATAATAATAATGATTAGTAAATAAAATAATTTTTAAAAAATAGAATCTCTTTTTTTTTTTTTTTTGGAGAGATTTTCACTGTAGGGCGCGTGCGCTCGCCAGACAGACAGAGAGAGACATAGAGACAGAAAGCGAGAAATCACCCCCCAGGGGGGATGGTCACGCCGCAATCCCTTCTCCTCCATTCTCCTCTCGGGATCTTGGGCACGCACGCACATGCGCCCGGCGTGAGTTTTAAGCCACCGGGTCCGGGACACGAACCACGGTCGACTATGTGGGAGTCCAGCGACATAGCCATTACGCTAACTGCTGGTTCCCAAAATAGAATCTCTTTTCTAATAGGTTGTAAAATTACTCTCAGTAGGACATCTGCTATATATCTCAAAATAATCCCAATAGTGTTTTTTTCTGCTTTTCTTTAAAACAGTGCTATTGTTGAAATTTGGTGAATCAAGAAAATATATCTTGTTTGGCATCCACTTCTCTCAAAGCTGTTAAGTAGCATCAATTCATATAGTACAGTTAGGATTTCACACAATAATTTCATTACTTTGGGCTTGACTTTTCTTGAAATTCTATTGCTGTACTTTGAACTGAACAGAAGCTGATCAAGAGATAAAGAAATGTGTTTAGGGGGCTAGCAGATGGCATGGTGGTTAAGACACTAGACTCCCACATGGTCAACCTCAGTTCAAGTCCCAGACCTAGTGGCTTGAAACTCATGCTGGGTGTGTATTCATGCATACGCAAAATAACAGGAGGAGAATGGAGTGGGACTGAGGCATTGCCATCCACTCTCAGGGGTGATTTCTTACTTTCCCTCTCACTGTCTCTCTTTCTCTCTGACAAGTGCATGCCCCTTATGGCAAAAATCTTTAAAAAAAAAAAAAAAGAAAGAAAGAAAAGAAAGAAAAAAGAAAAGTTGTTTCATGTCTTTTTATTTCTGGGGTTAAAAATAGTTGGAACAAAAAAATTATGTCCTGATTCCCACATCAAGAAATGCTAGGGATCAGCAGTTAGCATAATGGCTATGTCACTGAACTCCCATGTAGTCGACTGCGGTTCGAGTCCCGAATCCGGTGGCTTAAACTCACGTCGGGCACGTGTGCGTGTGTGCCCAAGATCCCGAGAGGAGAATGGAGGAGAAGCGATTGTGGCGTGGCCATCCCCCCCTAGAGGGGTAATTTCTCACTTTCTATTTCTCTGTCTCTCTCTCTGTCTTTCTGGTGAGCACACTCGCCCTATAGCAAAAAAAAACTCTCAAAAAAAAAAAAAAAAAAAAAAAAAAAGAAATGCTAGAGTCAGCCCATGTTAATAGATACTTGTAAGATACTGAGCTCTGCTGGCTGGGACCACATGGTATGCCCAGGGTCAATTTCTGGTCCATCCTGAATATTGGGCATGGTGGTGTGTAATCCCAGCTACTCGGGAGGTGGAAACAGGAAAATCACAAGCTCTGACAACATAACAAGACCCTGTCTAAAAAAGAGCCAGCCGTCCCGGCTCATTCCTACAGCAGCAGCCGGGAGGTTGAGACAAACTCAGACACAGCAAGGCACCATCTTAAAAATATATAAAGATAAGAAAAGGAACAAATGCTAGGGCAACTTACCAACACCACTCCGAGAGGTAGTGGGACGTAGAGATCTACACTCTCAAGGAGTTTGCAACCTTCTTTGTACCACTTCAGTCAGCCCAGCTCCTGCCTCAGGTCCTTTGATCTTGCTATTAAATTTTACTTTCTATAGTTTCCCCAAACTCCAACCTATTCATTTAATTCTAGGCTTAAATACCACTATAGCAGAACCTGGGGGCAGCTAGGACATTTCCTATGTCCCTAAGAGTAGATGTCTCATTATGCTTCTCGATCACACTATGTGTTCCTTCTTTCCAACCTCTAACATTTCATCTATGAAATACAGTCACGTTTTCAAAACAGAGTTCAGTGAGACAGAAAATTAGAAAGTACAAATACTCTGTTAAGAATCTAAAACATTTTGCTACAGAGACAAAACGTCAATGATTTTTTTTTTTTTCAACTTGAGATGTTTACAAAGGTGATGTACCCTGGGGTAAGGAGCACTGGAACAGAAATGAGAATGATGAACTAAAGGAGGTTTCAGTGTTGTCTGAATAGGAAACATAAATTTTGCCTGAGCATTTTCACTAATGAAATACTAGACCACATCTGCTATGAAAATTTTCTACCACCTTCCTCACAAGCACTGGAGATCCCCACGTAAGAGAAGCTGAATTGAAAGATAGTGAATCTGATTTCCTCATGTAGCAATTTGCCTGGAAATTTCTACTTAAAATAGTCTCCCAGACTCCATCTCAGGAAGAATGAGAGACAGTGATTTCACCTTCCTTGTACCTGATTGGAATATCAGAATCAATGAGTATGTCGTAAGCTCAATTTTAAGAAAGAAAAGTCTAATTTTGGAAATGTGAATATTTTAGGGACACAACAGATATGTAAGGATGTTTTCTTTGCCAGGTCAAATCTGTGACTTGTTATAAAAACATCCCTGGCTCATGCCTTCAATTTTCTCACAAAAGATGCCTGGCCTTTGAGAGGTTTTACCCTTCTTGCCTGTAGTGTATAGAAGCCAGCACTCTTTGGGAGCATGTCACCCTGAAAGCACATTGCTATTTCTCCCACTTACAAACACCTGCCACATGTGACTCTTAAACACCTGAAATGAGACTGGTCGGAACTGAGATGTGCGAGAAATATAAAATACACGACAGATTTCTAAGACTTAGTCCAAAAATGATAAAATATCTCATTAATAACTTTCCCACCAAGTACATGTTGATACGATAACATCCTATCTGATGATATAGTGGGTTAACAAAGTTGATTACTAAAATTAGTTTTACTTATTTCTTTTCTAAATTAAAAAATATTTTTGATTTTAAAAAGTTTAGAATTATACAGGAACCATGTGATGAATTTCTACCATATAGTGTTCTTCTGAAACTGTGGAAACTCATACTTTTCCTTGCTAGTGGGGTTGGACTGAACCCAGCAGGGCAGGCCAGCTTTGAGGGCTGGAGCTAGAGCTTTAGATTCTGCACACTGAAATGAAGAGTTGCACAACAGATTAACTGAAGGGTTTACATGGTAAACAAGATGGCGGGCAAAGAAACAGGCACCTGAATCCTGAGAGCAGGTTGCCACGAGTGTTTTGCAGGAAAGCTATGGTTTCCAAAGCATGGTTCTCCGGTGGGCAGCATCAGTATGAGAAATTGTAGATGTGCAAATCACCAGGCCCCATCTTCTGCCTACAGGATAAGAAACTCTGGGGGTGGAACCGAGCCATCTTCATTTTAATGTGCCTGTGGAATATTCATTATTTTGATGCAGCTCAAAATTCAGAACTGCTATGGGCTGGAACTAGTTATCACCCCACTTAACAGGTGAGAAAATGGTGTGATAAAGAAATTAAGAAACTTGCCCCAGTTTCACAGCTATTAAATGGAAGAGAAAAAAAAAAAAAAAAAACAGGGTTTCAAACCCTGTGGGTTTTTTTTTTTTTTTTTTTAAGAGAGGTTTTTGCTATAGGTGCATGCACTTGCACTTGATGGAGAGACAGAGAGACAGAAAGTGACAAATCACCTCCCTGGAGGGATGACCACACCACAACCCTGCCTTCTCCATCCTCCTCTTGGGATTTTGGGCACACACGCATGCCCATGCACCTGGTGTGAGTTTTAAACCACCGGATCCAGGACTCAAGCTGCGGCCAATTCTGTGGGAGTCCGGTCACATAACCAGTACACCATCTGCTGGTCCCCAACCCCTGTGTTTTTACTCCTAGAGCCTATGCTGTGGCTCTGATCTCTCCTCTACAAAAGTGCACTCTCATACAACGCTGATACAATTTCAGACATCTGCTTGACTCCTTGAGGGCTTTCCCTGCATCCAGTTTTATAATCCCTGATCTAGGGCCCCAGATAGGATGATGAGTCATTATCCATATTAAACTAATCACACTTACAACTACAGGATTTTTTTTATACATAATGTGTTCTACTAAAGATACACTGAAAGAGCTCTTTCTTGCTATACAAGATGGCAGGTGAAAAAGCTGCGAAGCAGGACACTAAGGAAAAGAGACCTGAAGCCAAGAAGTCTGACGCCAGTGGCAAGGTTAAAAAGAGTGACCCCCTGCACCCAGGCCAGCAGGTGGCATGGTGGTTAAGGGTGCTGGACTCCCACATGGCTGACCATGGTTCAAGTCCTGGACTTGGCAGCTTGCTTTCTCACTTCCCCTTTCTCTCATTCTGTCCCTCTCTGCTCAAATAAAAATAAAAATAAATAAATAAAGTTAAATAAAAATAATTTAAGAAAAAAAAAAGGTGATTCCCCCCCCCCTTGAGGCTAAAAACCCAAGAAGAGGAAGCCCCATTGCAGACAAAACTCAATACTAGTCCAGGGCATCAACAGATACTCCCGATCCGCCATGTATTCCAGGAAGGCCATGTACAAGAGGGAATATTCAGACACTAAATTGAGCATGGAAAAGAAAAAGAAGGAGAAGGTTCTTGGCACTGTCATAAAACCAGTTGGTGGAGACAAAGATGGTGGTACCTGGGTGGTTAAACTTCACAAAATGCCTAGGTACTATCCTACTGAAGATGTACCTTAAAAGCTGTTGAGCCACAGCAAAAAAAAAAAAAAAAAAGCTTGTGAGAAAGCTGTGAGCTAGCATCACTCCTGAGACCATTCTGATCATCCTCACTGGATGCCACAGAGGCAAGAGAGTGGTTTTCCTGAAGTAGCTGTGCAGTGGCTTGCTACTTGTGACTGGATTGCTGCTCCTCAAGTTCCACTGTGTAGAACAGTGGAACTGTTCTATACACCAGAAGTCTGTCACTGCCAACTCCACAAAAATTGATAATAGTAAAGTAAAAATCCCAAAGCACCTTACTGATGTTTACTTCAAGAAAAAGAAGCTGTGGAAGCCCAGATACCAGGAAGGTGAGATCTTTGACAGAGAGAAGGAGAAATACAAGATTACAGAACAGAGTAAGGTTGATCAGAAAGCTGTGGATTCACAAATTTTATCAAAAATCAGAGCTGTTCCTCAGCTCCAGAGCTACCTGGATCCGTGTTTGCCCTTACAAATGGAGTTTATCCTCACAAATTTGTATTCAAAATTTTTGCAAAGAACCTAATTAAATAACTGATTATAAGGAAAACTTGGTCTTAGGTGTCAGATGATATCTTATTTACCTCAGGCTGCCATAGCAAAATGCCATAGACTGAGTGGTTTAAAAACAGAAATTTATGGGGACCAGCAATTGGCATGGTGGTTAAAGCACTGGACACTCCCACATGGCTGACAATGGTTCAAGTCTCAGACCTGGCAGCTTGCTTTCTCACTTTCCCTCTTTCTCTGTGTCTCTCTGGTCAAACTAAAAATAAATGAATGAATAGATAAAATTAAATAAATGATTTTTAAAAACCCAGAAATTTATTTCTCATAACTCTAGAGTCTGGAAGTCTAAGAAGAAGGTGCTAGTCTAATTGGTTTCTGGTGAGGGCTCTTTGCCTGGTTGCTGATGGTCACCTTCTTGCAGTGTCTTCACATGACAGAGGGAGTGCTAAAGCCTCTTCCCCTTCTTACTCATCATGAAGGCTCCACCCTCATAAACTTGTCTAAACCCAATTATCTCCTGAAGGCTCATCTCGAAATACATTGGAGTTAGGGCTTTGACATAAGAATGGGAGGAGGAGGCAGAATTCAGACCATAGCTGAATAAGAACTATGGGTAAGAACTATGTTTCTTCTGTTTGCTAAACAAGGAACAAAATACTCATTAGTGGCTTATAACCCACCCACAATTTAGCAGAAGGAGTAGCAGGTACCAAACTAATTTTGAAATCTGAAAGGGTCAGAATCTCAAGGGGGAAGGAGGGCCATGGACATCAGTCACAGATGGCTGTCAGAGTACTCCTACAAAACAGTTAAAGGACCTTGCTAATAGTGTCTGTCTTTCATTTGGAGATGATGTTAATGGCAGTAATTTCAACCTGTGATAGCTTTGGGAACAAATTAGAGTACATTGAAATGCTTTTGTGTTCATAGTACAGAAGGTATTTTTAGAGCCTGGAGCTGTTTGATAAGCACAGCACAGCTCACTTTTAACCATACCTGAACTTTATAATTTACTCCCAGACAATGGGGATCAAGTGCTTGAAGATGGTGGTGTTGGAGAGGAGACTGGCCTTTTTTTATCAACCTGCGGAAATGAAATGGAACATTTATTCTTTCATAAAAGGGAAAGTAGGTTATCTTGACTGTATTTGGTAAATCTTTATTGTTTCCTTAAAAAGTATTCTACATTTGAGAAGACAGAAAAGCATTTAAGAATGAATACATACCTCTGCTCATTTGGCATTTATTTAATGCCTTGAAGTAATAGTCAATCACTGATATAAATGGGATGAGTTCTGGAAGTGTGTACTTAAGGGAATGTCCTATAAAAATTATAATATATATATATATATATATATATATATATATATATACATACACACACACACA